TTCACCTTTTTTACTTCCTCTCCCACCTCTCAGCTTCTGGTGGAGGGGCAAGCCTGGCCTCTCACTGACAGCCTGGGCACAGAGTGTGGTTCCTACTCTCCTGGCTTGGAGAGAGGAGACACCACCTGCCTACATCCCAGTTTATGCTTCCAAGAATTGCAATAGCACTTTTTGCCACTGCATCACACCGAATTGATGTTCAGCTTATTATCTACCATGACTCCAAAATCTTTTTCCAACACTGCTTCTGAGAACAGACTGTCATATGGCCTACATTCTTCGTTGCTAGAAGTATATGTTTACATTTAGCTATATTAAAACCCATATTGTTTGCTTATACCCAGTTTACCATACACAGCACTCATCTATTCAGTGTTTATTTTAAAATATGTTAGGATCTCAGACACTATGGTGTACAGCATAGTATCAAAATCAAGGCAGATTAGCTAGCTAGGCAGATAATTACTCTGATGCTATAGTGAGGAGTGGATACCTATAAATACATATGGGTTTTTGAAAGAAAAAAAAAAGTAAGACAACAAGAAAGAAATTTTAACCAGGTGAGGGGAATGTATTTGTAGTTAGTCACTCTCCTTAATTAAGGGGAGAAAAACCTCACAGGATTACAACTGCTATAAATAACTTATAACAAGTATACAGACACAACTTAGTCCAATTAGTCTGTAGATGAGCATTTATCTAAAATATAGCTGAACATTTTGTAAAATGTTTTTCAGCTTCTTTGTGAGGAATTGCTGAGGGATCGTAATGATCTGAAAAAGTACTTTTTTGAAACACACACAAAGGAATCTCGTTTATGAAACTCCAACGAAATAAACGAATAAATAAACAAACAAATAAACACACGAATAAATAAATAAATAAATAAAGCAAATTCCAGGTGGTAAAACCTCTCTTTAAAACAGAGACATCATAATTTACACTTGGAAGAGTTACGTGATTACCAAATCATCTGTCACATGAATCCAAACTGGTCTCAGTCTGATGCAGTCTTTTTCACTGCCGAATAGAAACCTGCATGTTTAGGAATAGATTGGAAAAAATGGTGTTCTAAATCAGGCAGATTACCACAGCTGCAAGAATTACAATACTGTTTAGAACTGAAAGACAACCAGATTTCACGTTCTAAAGTGAAGTTTCATGGATTCAAATTCCAACACAGTGGTTGTGACTGGTAAGTTTTTATTTATTTATTTAAATTTGCTTCCTCTTTTAGCCAGACATGGAATGCACACATGCCTGATCTTTGTCATAGATGGTTCCCTGGAGGGAAATACAGTAGCAACTGGTCATAGTAATAATTCCAAATGGAAAATAGCTCACTGCTGTGCCACCCTAAGAAAATCAGATATATATCTTCTCAATTATTGCCATCCAGTTTGGTTAATTGTTCCCTTTCTCTCACATCTTAAAAAGAAACCTCTGCTGACATCTTTTCCTGTCCAAGTGGTGTAGATGTAGGCAGTATAAACTAATGTTAGAAGATGAAACTGACCCAAAAGGAGTTCTGAATCAATAAAACTAGGTTGCATGATGCTGTCACAATCTGGGTCCAGAATTAGAACAACCCCAGAGTGTCGGTTTCATGGCAATGTAAGAAGGAAAAAAAAATCACAAAAGGTTGAGCACCCTCATCACTGCTTAACTAGAGTATTAAAATTAAATATACCAAATAAGCACACTTGAACTTGCTTGTCAGGGCACCAGAACAGAAGATTTTCTCACTGACTAGGAAATGCAGACAGACCCACTAGAGATGTTTTTGAACTTTAAAAGGTTAAAACTCCCTTAAGGAATGCTTCTATCCACTGTAGCTCTTGACATGTGAGTTGCTGAGTAGTTTTCCACTAGGGCATCTGAGGACGTAGGGATGAGGCTGAACCTACGTCATCGTAGTACCTTGTTACCTTTTCCCCTTACATGGTTGTTTAACTATAGACTCCGCGTGTCAAATAACTTTAGATTGACATATCTGTTAAGTGTATGTCAGACGTATTATAGAAAATTAATATAACAGGTCTCAATAACATTTTCACCTCCTTGTAATATAAACTTGCTGGCGCTGGTGGCAATTTTATTATCAACTGCCTGATATTTCAGCCAATTTTATTTCTATGTTGGTTCAAATCTTTCAATACAGTAAGATCTTCTTACAGTGATTTCTTTTCATAAAACAGCTTTACTCTAAGCAAAAATTATTTCTGACCACATCTTTAATTTACAAATTGCATTGAGAGCCAGCTCAGAACTTACATTTTACTATAAATAAGAGTTTAACTCTGACTCAGCCCCACTATATTTTTTATTGAAAATAAAGTGAATCAAACATGGAATGATTATATCTCCTTTTCAGCAAAAAAAAAGTGGACCCTTTATTCCCAGCACATACAATAGACAGTGAAGCCTCTGAACTCATTGCCACAAATTATGACTGAGACCAAAACATTAGTGTAATTTTTAAAAAGGATTATTTGTAGAAAGAAAAACAAAGGAAAAGGAAAAGACAAACACTATAAGCAATTTAAGACAAGTATACCATGCAGGTGGCCTAAAAAATATTTGAGTTTTTTAACAGAGTCCCTACAGCTAAGGTTGTATAGTTTCCATAGAAATAACTTTTTTTTTTTTAAAGGAACAAATATGGCAAAATGTATGCACTTCTACAGCATGGGAGGCAGGTGAAGGGCCAACTGGAGAAGGCAAGCCTCAGCACACCCCTGGAGGCAAGCTCCACCTACCCCCAAAGCCGGATCCTTCCTAGCCACATAGAAGGCAGGAACTACCAGGCCGCAGCCCCAGCCCTCCCTGGTGGCTTCATAGTGGCTCCAGCCCTCCTGGGCAGCTGGGGAACCCGGCCACCGCTCTGCAGCCCCAGATTCCCAGCAGCTGGGGTGTGTAGGCAATTTTGGGAAGGCTGTGCCTTCCCTTGCCTACATTACCAGTCACCCATATTCTACAGATATTTTATTATGTTTTTGACACTTTTTTCATTGGGTTGTTTATTTTAAAAATGAGACATTTTAAAAAGTGGGGATTAAAATAGCCTAATAGGCTCATCAGTATTAGTTGGTCCATTGACTAGGATCTAAGACACTGCGTACAATTCACAAGTGCATACTATATAATGTGTTTTGGGATGGGGATACAAAGAATGGAGTGAGTAGAACTAGCAGTGAATTTTCCCGGACAAAATACCCTTCAACCAAAATGAAAAATGTCCATTCATCTTAAAGGGCAACTCCCCTTCACATTCTCCTACTCCATCCCACCTTTTGCAAGTGAAAAAAGATAAATGAGTGATAGCATGGGGAGGTTTGGCTACCAAAACAAAGCATAGTTTTCCAGAACATTTAAAAGAAATTTGATTTAGAAAATTTCAAATGAAATCAAGCATTTTCATCTCTTTAAAAAATGATCATGAAATATAATGATCTCTAGTGATGAAGATGGAACAGAAGTCAATTTGATTTCAACACTTTTTCCTATAAAAAACGTTATGAATCACTTGACACTGATTTATTAGGTAGTGGTAGGGCTGGGTCTCCCTGGTCGAGTTTAGAAGGGGGTTTGAGCAGATGATGGGGCAAAGGCATGACGTGGCTGAAGGGGAAAGCTTAGTTGAGCCAGATATGCAGATGGAAGCAGGATCAAGGGCCTCAGAGGGGGGACTGCTGGTCGAAGAAAATGGACAGTGGAAGCATGTGACTCAGAGGACCAGGCAGAGGAAAAGATGGGTCAGTGAAGGAAAAATAGAGCTCAAGAACAGGTATGTGGAGCTGGAAAATGTAGAAGGGGTACAGCAGGTAGATAATGAAGATGGAAGGGTAAGGAAGAAGAGAAGAGTGGCTAGTCCCATAGATAAAGGGGAAGACTTAATGGAGACAACACCAATAATGAGCATTAGGATTACAAGGGAAAATAGGAATGGCAAGGACTTGCAGCCAGAGGAAGCTAGAGATAGACCAGAGAATTGCACTATCACTAGGAAAAGACAGGTCTATGTGATTGGGGACTCCTTATTGAGAAGAATATATAGGCCTGTAACCAGAGCTGATCCAGAGAATAGAAGGGTGTGCTGTCTGCCAGGTGCTAAGATAAGAGATGTGGAACTGAGGTTGAAGAGAATTATTAAGGGAGCAGGAAGGAATCCATTGATCATCCTTCATGTAGGAACAAATGATACGGCTAGATTCTCGCTGGAACAAATTAAGGGAGACTATGCTAGGCTGGGGAGGATGCTCAAGGAAATTGAGGCTCAGGTGATCTTTAGTGGGATTCTGCCTGTTCCTAGAGAAGGGCAACTGTTATTGCCTGTAGGGTTGCGTCCAGACTACGGGGTTCTGTCGACAAAGCAGCTTGCTTTGTCGACAGAACTCAATGTGTCTGGACGCTCTTTGTCGACGGAAGTTTTGTCGACAGTATCTGTCGACAAAACTTCCGTCGACAAAACGCAGTAGTCTAGACGTACCCTAAGATGTGACAGGATGATGATGATCAATAGATGGCTTAGGCAGTGGTGCTATAAGGAGGGCTTTGGGATGTATGGTCACGGGGAGGCATTTATGGACAGAGCACTGTTCTCTAGAGATGGACTTCACCTCTAGAATGAAGAAAGAAAGGCTATAGCTGGGGGTAGGAGAATGAACATGAGGAAGGGTGGGGGGGATACTAGTCTAATAGGTCATATTGGAGGTATAATGTCTGTGCCAAATTGGGTAAAGAACGTGAATGAGGCCAAACAGCAAAAATTAAGATGTTTATACACCAATGCGAGGAGCCTAGGTAACAAAAAGGAGGAACTAGAGCTATTGGTCCAGGAAGTGAAACCAGATATTATAGGAATAACAGAAACATGGTGGAATACTAGGCATGACTGGAGTACAGGTATTGAAGGATATGT